CTCCCCCCCCTTCCCCCCCCCCCCCCATGAACAAAGGGAGAAATATTTTCAAAAAAAAAAATCCCAAAAATAAAAAGCAGGAAAGATAAAATCAAGGAGGGGGGAGGAAAGAAGATATTGGTAGGATATGAGTCAACTGGATGCAGTGTATAATATCGGGGTTAATTTCCAGTGATTTCTTTTTTCTTTTTTTCTTTTCACAACTTTGATCCATCTGCTTGATGAGGTGACGCGGAATCAGAGAGGCCAAGAATAGGCGATCTGGGGGTAGAGCACCGGTGGGCCGATGGAAAATGTCCAACATGTACAAAAAAACAGCCCCCGAAATTGGAAATCAGTAGCTTTAAATTTTTACACCCCCCCTCGCATACCTCATCATATTTCTTACATCCATAATTTCTTTAGACTGACTTGTACCCCTGTGTAAATCTTTTGTATCCCGCATCTGCCAAGAAAAAAAAAAAAAGGTGAAAATAGGTTAGTTCAAAGGTTAAATAATGCGCCAGAGAAATTTGCTAAAAAAAAGATGCAATATCTCGCGCAGATGGACGGTGTAGTGATCGAGGTCAAAGCGTACGTTTTGTGATAAAGCAGTCCAAGCTTTCGGGACCGCGCGAGCCATAAGGATAGGGTTCAGGCTTTGGCTTTTCCTCTAGGATAGTGAGTCGTAGGTAAGGTCACAGTCAACGGACTTGATGGTTGTGGAATTAAAAATACTAACGATCGATGTAATGTAGCAATGGCCTGTTCCATGGGTCATGAATGGAAAACCTAGTGAGTTTACGCTGCTCAATCGCAGCATTGGCGCATTTCACTTTGCACTTACGTGAATATTTTCCATGCGATTTCCAGCTCATCATCTCGAACAAAGTTTGATCGGTCTCCATTGATGGCATCCAAGATCAGGGCTTCGTATCTATGCGAGACCGGGCCAAGGAGATCAGTCAATCAAAATTTGCCATGCATATCGTGGATGATGGAGTTCCGGAAAACTCACGCCTCGGGAATTTTCAAGTCGCTAAACCTTCTTTTGTAAGTCAGGTCCATTTCTGTCGAGACTGATTTCATAGCCAATCCGGGAGTCTTAGCGTTCATCTTCAGATAGACTGCTTCCCCCGGCTGGACTCGGATCACAAGCTCGTTCCTGGCAATGTCTTTGAAGATTCCTTGTGTGACATCCTTATACCTGGTTGCAAATGAGGAAAAAAACAAAAACAAAATGAGCCTCATATAAATGTAAGCATTCACGTTTTGAGCCCCCCGACTCAACTGAATCCGAATTTCTGTCTTTTGTTCGTTTAGAGCCTTACCGGCCCTCAGGATGAAAGGTACCCCCTCCCAACGAGGGGAGTTGATGTAGAGAACTAATGCGGCAAAGGTAGGGCAGATGGAGCCCTTGGGTACTGTACCATCATCCAAGTAACCTGGCTTGTCGCCTGCGGCGGCGTACTGCCCTAGGAGAGATTGCTCCCGTTGAATAGGGGGGATGAATCTTAGGATCTTGACCTTTTCATCTCTGATGTCTTCAGCCGAGAAAGAGACTGGTCGCTCCATTGTCAATAGAGATAAGACTTGAAGTAGATCTGAGGTTGGATCCAGACAAAAAAAAGGAGTTAATTGATGTCTCTTCATCAAGTGCTCGTCAAATGACTAGCTCAGAGAGTGGGGCACTGACGGTTTTGCATCACATCTCTAATGATTCCAAACTCATCAAAGTAACCTCCACGGCCTTCGGTTCCAAAGGGTTCCTTGAAAGTGATTTGAACGTTGGAGATCAAGTTCTTATTGAAAGAAGCATCCAAGATAACATTCCCAAATCTTAAGACCAAGAGATTCTTGACCATTTCTTTTCCGAGGTAATGGTCGATCCGGAAAGTCTACAAGAAAAATATTAATCTCATTAAGGTAAAATATTGGCCTTTTTTTTGGTTGGCATGAGGCTTACCTCTTCTTCTTTCCACAGAGCCTTGAGGCTTCCCATCAGCTGACGGCTGGTCGGAAGATCCATACCAAAAGGTTTTTCGACGACGATCCTATTGAAGCCATTGGGGGAGTACTATGAATTGAGTCTCAGTTAGACCGTGTGCGTCTTAGAATGAAGGAGGATGTACCGTTACGCACGTTATTCTTCCTCAGCCCGGTTGCAACGTCGATAAAAACACTAGGAGGTAGGGCCATGTAAAAGATTCTGTGACGGTCAGAGCCTTTGAAGGCTTTCTCCTTCTCCTTGATGACCTCCTCTAGTTTTTGAAAGCAAGCGTCTTGGTCGTATTGACCATCCACGTAGCTACAGATGGCCAGATAGTCCTCCAATTTTTGCTTCATCGCCGGTATGGGTGCTTTGATACATTGAGAGACTCGTTTGTGAAACTCTTCTTGGTTCATCTTTGATCTTGCATAGCCAATTATCTGGGTACCATGGGGTAAAAATCCGTTGAAATACAATCCGAAGAGAGCTGGAAACGTCTACAAAAGAAAGAAAGGAAGAAAGATGGAAATGAGTAGAGCTCCTCTACTGGCTTTGAGAAGCTGATAGGTTATGGGTAGAAGGGGTGGCAAAAGGGAGAGACAACCTTTTTCTTAGCGAGATCGCCACTAGCGCCGAGGACGACGATGATAGTATTTTCTTTGAGTTGGCCAGCGTTTGATCCGCCGCAGGAGGGGATATCGGAAGCCATTATTGTGCTGTTGGTGTGTGTGTATTTTTTTTTATTTTTTTTTATTTTTTTTGGTTGTGGTGGTCAACAGGACCTTCAGCGGCGGAAATGATTTTTCTTTTTCTTTTTGCAGTCTTCGGTTTTGTCATGTCCAAAACTGTTTTATTTTGAGTTGATCGATTTCAGTAACTATGGGTTTAGAGGGGCGCCCGCTGATCGATGACGTATGAAATATGTATTTATATCGATCAAACACAAACACATCTTAAAAATGTATTACATATTAATCAGCAAACTGAAAATGAATCAGCTGCGGGTGATCGATGGAATTATTTTCCAAGTGGAGAGTCAAGGCCAGTGAAATGAGATGAGCCAGAGGTTGTGCTTGCCCAGGAGGAAGTGGGGTGATGACAGGAGACTAGAAAAGAACAACCCATGAGGGAGATCTAATGTGATGAGCTTCGAAAGCCATTTTGGTGTCAGTATAGGAGTTCTCATCTATCCCCTGAAAAAGAATGGGTAATCCAGATAAAATACCCCATCCACATCTCTTAATCAAGACTCAACCTTACAACACTCGAATTCCATCCATAAAAAAACAAAAGAGAGAAAGGGAATGTGGGATGTGAATGGATTGTGTTATACAAGGTCAATCAGAGGAAAGTGAGCTGGCCATCGAACAATGTCAACAACCAACATACTAGACAAGAGAGAGAGAGAAGCATATAAAGGGACAGGACAGAAGGAAAACAAGGGAAAAGACGTGTCATTGACTACTCCCAGCAGCAGGCCCTCGCCCACCGAACAACGAGCCCATATCGCCCATGCCCATCTGTTCCATCATCTTGCGCATCATCTCAGGGTCCGGCATCTGGCCCCCGCCCAGCCCACCGAGTCCGCCCAATCCCCCCAGTAAAGACCCTAAGCCGCCTGCCCCTCCTGCTCCTGCTCCTCCCATCGCCGCCGCTGCCCGTCGCGCCCGTGTCGCCGCTGAGGGCTGGCCTCCTGTCCGCTGAGCCGCCTGTGATAAGGCATAGAACGCATCCACCCCACCTATCGATTTTTTTTCAAACAAAAAAAAACATTAAAGATGCTTGCTGTCACTTTTAAACAACGTTCTAGTGCTTACCTGCATCCTCGATCTGCTTGCGGACATTTGCTGGTGCCTGACGCTGTAAAGAGGAACATGTATATTAGGCTGCCGAAAGAAAAAGAGGGGGAAATGAAGTGGTACATACAAGGACTTGTGCACGCTGGGCGGGGGCCATCTTGACGAGTTGTTCGATGGTGACCTGCTGCTGCTTGACCTTCCCGCCGCGACTGCCACCCATCATGGCTTTTGACTGTTGCTGGGCCTGCTTCAAAGCCTGCTGTTGTTCCCATTTCCGTTTCCCGCCAGCGCTCTTGACCATCGTCGCAAACATCGCATGCTGTGCCAACATCCCCTCCACCTCATCCACGCTGGTTCCGCTCCCCCTGGCTATTCTCAGCACTCGTGGATGCGGCTCCCGCGGTTGGCCATCCGCAAGTCCACTTCTACTCCCTCCCTTTCGTCGTTGCTTACTCCGAAACATACTTCCATCCGAATCTAACTCTTGTGGCGTCATCGCATCGAATATAAACACCATTCGCTTCATCTTTTGGGACATCTCATCTCCATCCCCTCCGCCCAGTCCCGCCATCATATTTGACATTCCTGGAATCATCGATGCAATTTTACCGATCGAACCCCTGAAACAATAGTTTTTTTTTTTAAAAAAAAAAAGAGATTAACAGTCTCCATCAAAATCACGACGAGGTAAAGTATTGAAAGCCATACATCTGTGTCAAGTTGGACATTTGATCTCGGAGATCCCTAATGGTGAATACCCCGCGCTCAATTCTTTGCCTCATTTCTTCCCGATTTTGGCTTGGGGTAGCCGATTGTAAATCCTGCATTGTTTCCAGGAATTCTCCGATATCACCCATCCCGAGAAGCTTACTGATGAAGGGCTCCGGAGCAAAGCGCTCCAAATCATGAAGATGTTCGCCTGTACCAATAAACATAATCGGGGTTTGGGCGGCTGCGACACTGAGATTCCTCGCGGATGGATGAAGAATCAGAAAACTTCTACATCTTGACGATTGGCCGATAACACTCACGCAGAAATTGCACCTCCACCTTTGGCGTGGCCATCCATTTTTGTGACAATGATGGCCCCAAAGTCAGCGGCCTCCTTAAACGCACGAGTCTGAGCCTCTGCAGCCTGGCCTGAATGCTTAGGAGATCAAACAAGATATTGGACATAAGCATTAAATATCAGTAGTAATAAGAGAGAGAGAGAGAGAGAGAGAGAGAGAGAGAGAGAGAGAGAGAGAGAGAGAGAGAGA